ACGAAGTTGATGACAGATTATTTATAGGCACTTGAATGGGCAACTTTTTCCCCATTTGGCCCACCCTGTAACTCTAACGGTTTCCAATATCCCCATGTACATCATTTTATACTGAACACACTGTATATGCAAGACAATGACAAGGTACAATTTAAAAAGAAACGTAAGTTGCAGACATAAAACCGTAACAGCAAACAAAATTAGAATGTAAAACTAAAAATAAAACATTGTCAAATGAAAGAAATTTAACAAAACTTAATGCTAAATAAAAGTTTGCAAATTTCGTCTCAAAAGGCGATCAATTAACGGCCTCAGGAAGTTGTGGGTTTAGGAATTACCGAATTTCTGGCCCGCTTAAGGGAGGATACTTAGGCCGGTTTGACCCGTTGAAAATAAGCTTGGCTTTGCCATTAAGCACAGCTTTAAAATTAAATTGGTTTGCACCACCTTATAAACCAGGCTTACAGCATTCAACGCTCGGCTTAAATTAAGGCGTCAACTTTGGTGGCTTATGGTATTAACCCGTGAATTCTAACCTTAATTTAGTCCAATAACGCTTTAAAAAGTTAACGAAAAATAGCTCTTATTTTACAAAACAATGGATATCGAAGCTTGTTTTTATACCTATATAAAAATATTTAATAAAAAACGGTAATTTAATTAAAAAACAGATGTATTGAAAATATGAACGTTGGGTTGAAAAACACTTTAAACGCAAGGTTCTTAAATTGTACGATTTAGGAACCTTGCTCTAAATGTGTTCTAAACTGAGGTTAATCCCTGGATCTATCTTCTCAATCGCCAAAGTTCAAATGTAAAGATAGATAGAATGAATACATGTATTCATTGTAATAATACTTTAATATAGAACGGTGCAAACGGCCCTTAGATCCTTAAGCGCCAAAGAATGGATGAAAAACGGAGATAAAATAGTCCACAATTCAACAAACAATAACGAATTTTTCCCAAATAAGCGCGAAATACCAATTTGGTTACTCAAATGGGACTTACCCTTAAATTCGAAAATCCCCGGGCACTTGCTAAATTTAGTGATTCTACGGCCAACCGTTCTGACTAGACAAGGAAAATATCTGCACACTAAACGGCGAAAATGTAATTCACTTTTTTTACTGTCTATAATTAAAAGTTGGAATCAGCCGGGTTTTTTTTACTTAAAGTAAACCGAAGCGCGGTCCATAAACACAACCTGGATCATACAGAAGGTAACCGGGAGAAAAAAAGGGTCTGACTCTACCCTGACTCAATATGTGCAGGCTTATTTAAACCAACAAAATGAGGGTTCTATACTAAAATAAGGGTTCATTTTTGCCATATAATTTACGTGTCTGTACACTGTATAATGTCCCTATATTTATGAAGATATTCGTCAGTGCTTGTAAAACTATTATGTATGTTTTTTTGTTTTGATAGGATTGAATTTTTTGAAGTTTTTTTTTCTATAATTTTGTTAAAAGTACAGTTATAAGAATCCAGATTTAGATCTTGTTTAATGTTTAAATGTTTACAGAATCTGACTCTTCGTATTTCTAAACATTGACACGTAAAAACATTGTTATATGGTCCCAATAAGGAAAACAAATTTAAAAAATATATATTGTAGTCATTTATACTAAGCTGGAACCGGAGTAAATTATTTAGAATGTTTATTTTATGTGTTTTTCTTGAATTGACTTTTTGTCAATTTCACCATAAACAATAGACAACTAGAAGCAATAACACAACACGCAACAGTAACTTCAATACATTTATTTTAGATTGTTAAATTTTTAACAATTCTGTAAAAATATAATCCTCAGTTAATACTGTTCAACATATTTGAACAATGAATATATATTTTTTGATTAAAGTAACGTAAAATAAATATACAGGGTGGTCCTCAACTAATGTGACCAAATTCACTGTTTATACAAAAATATTGCGTTTCAGGCAAATTTGTCTGATTCGAAAGTTAACAGATTCTGAATTACAGAATGTCAAAGTCAATAAAATTTTCGTTTTTTTTTAAATACATTTTTAACCATTGCCCATTTTTACGAGGGCATTTCTGCATTCGAAAATCAGTTATGTTGGGACATTTTCAATAAATTCAAGGCAATACTAGAAGTTTAAATATTTTTTCTAGTCTAAACTGACAGTAAAACAATTTTTTTCACGGCTCACCATAACAATCTCAGCTTAGATATTAGAGATCTATCTGATTCGAGTTTAGACATTAACATCACTAGAGGTTTCAATGTGCAATATCTCGAAACCGGTAAGAGCTATTGACTTGAAACAATTACACCTTCTTTGTTTATAAAATATCCTAGAACGAAATACTACCAACAAAATAGCGATATTTCAAAACATAAAAGTTCTGATTTTTAAATGGCTCGAGACTATTACAGCTAGCGCATGATCTACAAGCTAGATTATACGAAATTTGGGCTTTTCTATCTAAAAAACTGCCTAACACAAAATTTTAAGGTCATCTTTTAAGTAATACTTATCAATTAAAAATTAACAATAAATTAAAATTTAACGAAAATTTTAGTTGCGCTATGACAACTTGTATCTCAGATACTATTAACTTTCAGATAAAACCAATTTGTCTCAAAAGTAATATTTTTGCCTAAACAATTTGTCAGTGAATTTTGGCACTTTAATTGAGGACTACTCTGTATACAGGGCGCGGTATAAATGGGGCGATAAATAGGGCAAAAATGTGTGGGGCAAGTTCCTACGACACTTTTTCGAAAACTCAATAATAACATGTTGACATTTATTGTTGACAGTTGACATTTATTAGTTAATGCTAAGCGCTAATGAAAAGCGCTCGTTTATTTAAACGAACGCTCAAAATCCATAAAAGGTTTACTTGCCATATCTCTAATATGAGCCGTTTTCGAGAAAATCTACGTTTAACACTGTCTTGCCCGGTGTAAGCAATAACTAACGTATGTTAAATTATATCCAACGTTTTAACAGAGCGTACCAACACTTGGAAATATAGAATTAGTGATTATTGATCAAATATTTAATTAGCTAATACATAGTAAACATTTATTAAACTATTATAAATTAATTGTAATAAACGTTAACGGCCTGCAGATCAGTTATCATTGAATTTTCTCAAAAGTGTTATATTCGCACCATTTCCGAACTCCCTGTATATAATTTAACCCAACGTTAATAAACAGTAAAGATTTCTATAAATATATTTTTCCCTAAGTTGAAGTAAGTCCTCGGACCTACTTAAATCCCATCAGAGGATCGAAGTCCGTCACTTGTGTGCTCTCCAGTTTCTTTATATTGGCTGTTTTAATTTCGGAGCGTTTTGCTTTCAATCCAACGTCTAAAAATAATATGTATAACTGACTTATAACTGAACTGAAGTAACTTAATGCCTACAGAATACTGTCGAACTAACGATAAAATGAAAATATAAACTACTGAAAACAAAACGTAGGTACAAAATGGAAAGGACATAAATATAAAATATAATAAAATAAAAAAATACAAAATACAAAAGGGAAGCAGCAGTGCGCGCCGCGCAGTCCTTCCGTGCCTATTTCTATATATACGCTTCCCCTCCGCCGCTGCTGCTTCCACCTCCATTCGACTGCAAGCGCGCTTTCGTCCGATTTTCTCGAAATTTTAGAGCATTTTTAGCATGCTTCCAGCCATCTGATCGAAAAATAGAAATATACGTTTCGTAATGCACAATGTCAACTTTTTTTTAAATTATAATCGAACTTACGGTAACGTATTCAGGCCAGGTTAATACAATTTTGTAAACAGGAAAATATGGTGATTAAAAACACATACTACAAATTACCAGTCCACGCAAGACATTTCCAACCGTATAGTGAGAAATCATTGATTTCGTTCTTATTAAACGCCGGTACCAGAATAGCGTTACACTGATAACAGCTTATCCGGGAGCTGACACAGGATCCGGTCATGATCCGATAATAGCTGATTTCAAGCTTAACATCAAAGTCATCTCAAAAAGAAGAAGGCTCATAAAATATGATATTCAGAGACTAAACCAAGCAAGTAACAAAGAGGATATGAGAGTGGAACTAGATAAGCTATGTAGCGAAAACGATCCTAGAAGCAAGTGTGAACCAGATGACATATGGAACGATATCAGGGAAAATGTCCAGAATGCTTGCTAGGTGGTCCTGGGTCAGCAGGAGCGGGTCAGGTTCAGACCCTGAATGACAGATGATATTCTGCATATAATGGAAGAACGGCGCAAGGCAAAAAATCAACAACAAACCGAAGAATACATTGGATTGACCAGCAAAATCAGACAGAAATGCAGAGAAGCCCGAGAACGGTGGGTGATTGAGGAATGCGAAGAAGCCGAAAGAATGCATAGCTACACGACTTATTCAACTTTCATGGGAAAGTAAAACAAGTTACTGGTGGCTCTCAGACTTTTCTTCACCAATACCGTCTCTTAGAAAATAAAATGGAAGAATCATCTTAGACCTAGATGACCTCGGTAATGAATGGAAACAATACGACGAAAACATTTTTGAAGACCAACGCCACTCAGGACACATACACGTACCAGAATAATTAACCGGACCCGAAATTTTAGAGGCAGAAGTGCAACGAGCACTAAAAAACATGAAAAATCGAAAAAGTCCAGAACATGATAACGTTCATGCTGAAGTACTGAAGATATTAGCGCCCCATACACGAGCGAAATATCTGTCATATCTGATACGTGGCGAGCCAAATTCGAAAAAATATCGGTGCGTTAATGGTTAACCACGAGCCAGATACGACTCGATGCGAATTTCGTACAAAATACAGCTGCAGATCTGGACTTGCCGACCAAATTTTGCCGTTAGTGGGTATGGGCGAATACTAGTATCAGATATTATTGCCGTCTAAGCAGTCATGCTATTGTCATGCTTCCGCGGCTTAAAGACAATACATATTCAGATAAAATTTAACGGTTGGCATTGGTACATATTTGGGATATAGTGTATAATGTTATAATTCAAGCAATGGGCAAGAGGTGATGATAGAAAATTTGGCTATAGAAATCTTGGAAGATGATGAGATAGTAGTTAATGTCACAAGAGAAAATCACTACTTCGATTACGAAGACGAAGCTATACCCAGTAAATAGGCGGTCAATTAACTTAATTTGTGTCTACGATGGGCCGAAGAAAATGCATTGCCACTGTATGAAGTGATTCTTTGTATTTGAATTATAGATATGTTACAGACGGTATATCCAATCAGACCGTATATATACAGACTAGGCCATATGTTCAAGCGCAATGATGTTTTATGTGATGTTTACATTTTCAATTGTTAACTGCAAAAATTGTGGTAAAAATAGTTTGTTCTTTGTTAAAGACGACGCTAAATACGATATATTTTAGTTATGAAGTTACAAAAGTAAATCAGATGTAGTCATTAATAATATAAGCTAAAATAAAAAAAAAGTTTTTCGAACAACCGTATGAGCGAACAAAATAGGTTGCCCAGAACAGCCGGGGTTTAACTAAAGGGTACTTAATGATTAGAGTGCGCAGAACACATATGTCTGTTTCTCAGAATTTGCAGTATTTCACTAAGAAAGTGGTAGATCAATTTGCCTTTTTAACGTTGGTTTTAATTAGTTCTGTTTGTATCGTTTGTTTGTTTTTCTATAATTATGTATTTAATTGTTTTAATAACAAAGTGTTTATAAAAAAATACCAGCGTGCATGCGATTTCTAATTTTTTTGCCGCATTTTTCCCTATTGCTGCCGACGCCTTTCCAGTCTATAGCTCTAGTCTACCCACTTTCTTCTAACTATTTTTTTGCGTAGATTTTTTGAAACCACTATGATGCCAGCACACGCAATAGCTATCTGTTTCTTGCTTCGCATTTTAAACACTTAGTTTAACTAATCTGCCTCTGAAATGACCAGATCTTTTAGTTCACTTGAAATACCACGCGCCAGATCAAGTCTGTCTGAAACGTAAGATTTCACTCCACTAACGGACGGATTTGATACCTCCAATCCCACTGGAAGAATCGGCACTCGTGCTTGGTATGTTAATTAGTGGACAGGAAAAGATTTAATTCGTCCGATCTGGATCTGTCGAATCAAATCTCTACGTATCTGAACTGTACGGATAATCTGCCCGTGTATGAGGCGCTATAGCATGCAAGATATCTAACATACTGGTCTAATAGAATATACGAGACAGGCAAAATCCCATCGGACTGGCTAAAGTCTACATTTATACCTCTCCCTAAACGAGGGACGCCTAGGAAATGTGGAGACTACAGACTTATAAGTCGCATGACTCACGCTCTCAAGGCTTTTCTACGCGTTCTACACAATCGAATATATACCAAATGTGAAGCAATAAGTGGAGACACCAAATTTGGTTTTATTAAAGGCTTGGGCACAACARARACTCTGTTTTCTGTGAAATTGCTAGTAGAGAAATGTTACGACCAACAAAAAGACGTGCTTGTATGTTTYATTCACTACGAGAAGGCTTTCGACAACATTAAGCACGATCCTCTATTGGAAAGGTTACATGAGATTGGCATAGATTCTAAGGGCATCAGAATAATACATCATATTGGCAAGAATGCAGAGGTAAAAATCAACAATGAGTTAACAACGGAAACGTTCAATATTTTCAAGGGAGTCCGTCAGGGGTGTATTTTATCGCCAATATTATTCAATATATATGTAGAAAGGATCTTTCAATTAGCTTTGGAAGAAGAGAACAGATGAATCAAGATCAATGGAATTCCAATCGATAATATGAATTATGTGGATGATACGCTATATTGGCGAATACCCCTGAGGACCTTCAACATACTGTAGACAGAATAAATCAAGTGGGCAAACGGTTTGGGCTAAAGATCAATAACACCAAAACTAAAGTCATGGTAATATCTCGCCGGAATATTAGTGTTGACGGACACTACCTGGAGCAGGTGCCTAGATTTGTGCATCTGGGTGCCACCATCAATCAGAAGTGGGATTGCGACGAGGAAGTAAAGGTGTGGGTTGGGAGAGCCAAGGCTACATTTCTTAAATTAAAAAACTTCTTGCCCCCACGCTTCCACTGTCACTGCGGCTGCGAGTAATTAAGTGCTACGTGTGTGGCCTATTTTACTGTACGACGCAGAAGCGTGGTATTTAAAAATCAGGACACTAAACAGCATAGAGGCATTTGAAGTGTGGACACTTGGCAGGCTCCTGCGTATTCCATGGACCGCACACAAAACGAATGAAGAAGTTTTGAGGATGGCCGGTGTGCAAAGAAAAATGCTGGACACTGTAAAGAAGCAGGAGATATCCTATATTGGCCATATCTTATAAATGTCCACAAATACTCGATCCCCAAGCTCATTTTGCAGGGCAAGATAGAAGGGCGAAGAGGCCCAGGACGAAAGCAGCATTCTTGGCTCCGAAACATGAGGGATTAGTGTGGAATAAGAGATGCTGCCACAATATTTCGTCATGCAGAGAGTGGCATCCTGCTTATGATGTGAGAGAAAGACAAAGAATCGTCAACGTGCGAACGCGCACAGGACACATGAAGAATAATTCAGGCCTCCCGGAAGAAGACGAACTGTAAACTTTGAATAGCGATTTTGAGAAAACTAGCAATTCGACAGCATCCGCTCTTGGCACATAAAAAACATTAAAATCCCTACTTTCGCCCAAAATTTTAACGCTCCAGCTGAAGAAAATCGCACTATGGATTTTTGAAAAAAACCAAATTTCCGGTTTTTCATAAATTTCTCAAAACCTAATTATTAGATGGAGGCGTTTGGCCTCTCATTTTGTAGATATTTTTATTCTCTACAAATCAACTCCTTGTTGCATTCCCATTGCTTCATTAGTTTCAAAGTTATAAACAAAAAGACAAAAATCGCTTTTTTTTTCAATAAATTGTTAATAACTAACATGGACCGGAAATGCGAGATTAACACATACCTACTCATCCGCTCGTTATCTTTTATATTATCTCACAATTGGTTTTCTACTAGTCTTTATGTCACGATAAAGTAATTTTAAATACCTATAGCTTGGCCTAAGAGTCAATTATTCGTTCACGTTACTTAGTTAAGACTTGCTTGCTCTTTAGTTAGCCTACTTTAACAACCGCTCAACAGAGCTGAAATAATTACCTTTGGTACCAGTTGCACTCGAAGTGTTTTTCGTCTTTATTCCAAACAGATCATCGTCACTACCTTCTGAATCATCAAAAATCCAATTTTTCTCTTTCTTCTGGGTTGCTTTCGCTTGTGTTTTGCTTTGCCTTTGGGGGAATTTTCCATCAAACAGATCACTATCAGAGTCAGATTCAGTAATAAATGAAGGAATTTGCGTCTCTTTCGGTAGGCGGCTTTCTACTGCGGCAGCAGCAGACATGAGACCGCTTTTCTGAGGCAATTTTGAGCTTTTAGCAAATAAATCTTCGTCGCTACTAGGTGAATCATCTCCGAAAATGTCGGTGTATTTGGCTCCTGATGCTTTAGCTGGAGAAGGTTGCAAACTTTGAAAATCAGTAGATTTTAAGAGTTCTTCATCTGATAGGGTCATTTTAGTTTTTGACGTGGATTTAAATAAATCATCTTTAATAGAATCGCCAATGTTCTTTTTTGATTCATTCCTTTCTGTTTCGTTTGATGCATTCGCAACACTCGATTCGTTAAAAATTGATGAATTTTCAACCTCCGTCTGTCCTTGATTTTCTTCCAGATTAGCCTTCTGAGTACCTTCAAAATGTTTTTGAGAACGTTCTAAAGGTTCATTCTTGTTTGGTGGATTATTTTTACTCCTTTTATCTGGTTCTGCACTTTCATAAAGTATGGATTTTTTATTCATATCTGTCACTCGATTCTTTAATGTTGAAGTGGATTTTTGACTGTCTTCTTTTAGGGTATCGAGTAATGCCGTATTGTCATTGGATTGGGAAATATCGACTTTATTAAATACTAATGAAATCCTCTTACTAATATTTTCTGTAAGATGTGGGATTTTGGCACTCGCTTGTTCCAATTCCTCACTTGTATATTTATTTTCTGTATAAAAGCTGAAATCGGTCATTGATTTTCTCGCTGCTTCCTGTCTGGCCCTTCTAGTGGATGGACGCCGTTTTACTGGAATTTTGGCTCTATCCTTCAAAGAGAAAAACGACTCTTGTAGGTTTTTATTATTCGACTTGAGTTATTAGAATAAAACTTAAAATGTTAATCCTACACTTTTACACCCAAAATTCATGCGTCTCTAACTATAGCTAGGTTACTTACTTTGGTGATACTATGTAGAACTTCGATACCACCCAAGTTCTCATAATTCTCCACTTGAGATTCGGATTTAAACATAATTTCACTTGTAGGCGAAGCTAAATAAACATCTGCTTTAAGTGGTGGAATTTCTTTTGACGATGTAACTAATGTTTGAACGGTATTATGAAAGTGTGCAGCTTTCGCAATGGACGAACGAATTTTTGACGATGTTGCTCCGGGCAACAAAGCCTCTACATTAATATTGAGATTGTGCTTAAGTTTTCCTGGAGACGCTGTAAGAACAGTAATTAATTAAAACAATATTAAATTTAAACTGGTACTACAAACTACAGTCAATTATCGCGTTTTAAAGCAAACCCAGCATGTTTATTGTCTCCTTCGACAACTTTTGTTCAGGATTATCGTTCTGATCAAAGTCGTGTATCTCAGCTCCCTTCGTTTTTTATACCTACATACATTTAATTTTGAAAAACATCCGATTACATTTTTTTTATTTTTCCTCTTTATTTACAATCTGTCCTGGGACACTAAGTAGATTTTATATACATAGTATTTACATTGATATTTGCTAGAAGCAACATGTGAGAGACTCACCCAATGAAGAGAACCTTACTAAGATTAATTAGAAAACACTATGGCGAGATGAGTGGATTATTAAAGATAGAAAAATAAAGAAGCTTCTTCAGCTGTTCATGGCTCTGTTGTTTGTCAGCATATCCGTTGCTAGTATAATCGAATGAACTGATAGTATGTTTGTGTATTTGGACTGAATGGTCGATATTTCTCCAGTAACTGCTTTTAGTTGTAGGTCCATCCTGATTAATTCATTTGGGACAAACCAGGGATCATTTACGATTTCTCTGTCATTTCAATTACCTGGTTTTGGAACAAAAATTATCTATGCTAAGTTCCACTGATCAGGAGTGTCCCAGGTGAAAGGTCGCATTGATTAGAATGGATATGAAAATCACTGCTTTGTCTGGCAATTATTTTAGTATTTTGCCGGTAATACCATCGTGTCCTGTAGTCTTCGAAGCTTTGAGGTTTCTAATTTTTAATTTTACTTCTCTGTAATTTGAGTTTTCGATAGGAGTGTTAGTTACCTCGCGATGCTCTGCTTTTTGTGTTGGGTTACATCTTACATCATCCTGTATCTCTGGTTCCGGCACTTCAAAAATATAGCTAAGGTGTTTAGCAAATACTGTGGCTTTCTCAGTGTCTGTATTTGCTCAGCTTCCATCAGGTTTCCGAATAGGTGGTATAAATCTCCGAGTTTGTTTAATTTTCCGTTTGACAAAGAAAATATTCAAAACATTTTTTCTTAATCTGAACTAATCCTCTATATCTTAAGTTATTTCTAATTTATTTCTGACTAAATATTTTCTTTCAATCTCACGCAATTTAAAAAAGTTAAAATATTATATATTAAGAACACATTGATAGGATTATATTGCATCAGAAGCTGTTGAAGACCTTAGAAAGTGAATTTTTGATGCAGAAAATTTCGATCGGAATGATCACGATGAGTGGGGTAAAACATATTTCCTAAGACGTGCCAGACTATATCTCGAGACATGATGGCGATTTTCAGCAAGTTCTGTTTTATGAAGCAGTTCGTTTCAAGGCTAAAATTTATTAGATGATCATTACTATTATTATCAAAAACTTTAGCTGGTCTGAACTAAGTACTGTATTTACACAGAAAACAGACATCGTGCTTAGTGCGTCTTTCGACCATATTACCACGCAGGTTCAGTATTAAGTGAACATTTACAGTGAAAAAAAATTAAACTAACCCTTTATTTCGTTTTCTTTATTTTAGGGTTTCTAAAAGGTCTTTTATTGGAAACGCCCCATTTTTAAATTGACACTTCTCATGCACGGCGCCAAGTTTTAATTTGTGACATTGATATTTGTATTTGTAAATGTCTACCATTTAATCATTCACCAAATTTACTATCAAAAATCGCGTTCTGTCCCTCAAACTTTACATGCATTAATTTTTGGTGGTTACAACCGTCCAGATAAAGAACAATCGAACGTTAAGTGATAAAGTTCGAAACAAAATGTATACTGCTTGATGTTGCAGTGCCAGTGAGACAAAGATCTGCAAGAGTTGAAGCAAATATTGCTGCTGTACGCGAAGAACAAAACTTGTCGATTTCTCGTCGTTCATCAGAACTAGCAATCTCCAAGACGTCTTTGTGGTGAATTTTACGAAAGACCTTGGAGATACTTACAAAATCGTTTTCACCCAAGAACTCAAAGCAATTGATCATTTAAAGAGGCGGGAATTCTGTGGTATTTATTATTTATGAATAATGTAATAAAGTTTAATCAAGAACATGTGTCACAGCTGCCATTCGATATCCACAAAGAGATCACGCTATGCTGTTAAACAAATTATAGAAAACATGTTTAATACGTCTAAATAACAGTGCAGTTCCAATTTATAAGGGCAACCAGAAAAATTAGAGACCCTTAAATTTGAAAAAAAAACTGAGTTTTGCTCTTGATATTATAATAATTAATAATACATAAACGGTTCTTGAAATAACTTGATCACATTCTCCATAAATAATAAATGAGTTTAAATCATTTTCATTTGTATAATTTAAGCGTCCGGGCATGATTATTATTTATTTCCAAAAGGTAACTGACAGCTGTCAGCATTCCTTTGACTTTTGGTTGTATTAAAAATAGCCACTTTCGTCATGGAAACTAAGACTGACACTATTTAAAATAAGATGAGGGCAAAATAGCCATATAAACACATTAAATTGACAATATTTCGAAAACTAAACACTTTTGGAATAGACAACTTTATACAAACTTACCCGTATTTTAAATACTGAATAAGATAAAATTATCAGAAATGGGGGTTTTCATTTGAAAAAATTAATTTTGGGCGATTTTCTCAACATCAATTTGAAGCTTATTTAGTTAACACTTTGTATTAAAAGTTATCAAAATTTTTTTAAATTCCACTAAAGTAAGTCCTTTTCAGCAAGAAATGCGACTCAAATTAAGTAACAGGGCAGCAGCATGTTGGAAGAGGTAGCGAGCGAACATCAGGAGAAGATACGTTTTCAGCGTTAGCGTTCCCTTATTTTAAATGTGGGTGTAGCAA